GTGTGGGTGTGGGTGGCACTGAAGCGATGGTGTGGGTCGGCCTACGAGCGATGGACGGTGTCCACCCGACCGCGCTATCCTCGGAACCCTTGCTGCTGTGTCTGCTTAAGAGTAGCCCGTCGAGCTTTGAAAAAACGATCTAATTATAGGGGTGGTATCTTACGTGTGCGACTCACTTATTCTGTGGGGTAATGTGTCACCCAATTATCGACTCTGTATATGGGTTTTAGCACGGGAATATGAACTGCAAAAATTATGTATTGTTTTTATTTTTGCTGCTCTCGTCTCATATGGTAAAGTTCCTTAGGTTTCGAGATTTTTTTAGCTTGCCCTCTCCCGGGCTCTGAGCTACTGTATTGGTCGCGCGCTGCAAGTTTTTTTTACAATCCTAAACCTGCCTTTTCTTCTCGCGCCCCCTCTACACACCTGTGCGCAGCCCGCGAGCTGTCGAAAGCGGCGCTAGGGGGCGAGGAGCTGCTCCGAGCTCTGGGCATGTTCGGCCACCGCTTCTCCCTTGTCGGAGTAGACACCGGGGTCAGCGTGGACTTGCTCAAGCTCATGTTCCAGACCGTGTCCACTCCCGTGCATGCCGTCGTCGATTCGGTGCTCGACGGGTGAGTTTTTTTTTTTTTTTTTGGAGTCCCGCGTCATTTTTTTTTTTTTTTCATATCAAATCAGCGCTTATTGCGAGGCCTCAAATAGTCCTCACCGCGCCGTAAACAAGATGTGACTGAAGGACTATTGTCTCATGACTTTCAAACGGAAAGCGCCAGAAGTCATCTCGTCCGGCCGTCCTCTGCAAGTAGTCGGAAAGCGGGGAGGTGGTAGTGGCCGTCTCCCCGTTTCCTTAAAAAATAGGCACCTTCTGTGATTGCCCTCAAAACTGCTCTGCTCTGGGAGGTTGTGATTCTTCATGATGCGTTGGGCGCACAACTGCTGCAGGGTCTGCTTCTTTTTTTTTCTCGCTCCTTTTCTTTTTTATTGATTGGCCATCTGCGAATGCCCTCAACTGCGGTGGGAACGCTTGATTTCTCATGATGCGTTGACGGACACACCTCCTTTTGCTTCTGCTTCGTCTTTTTTTCTCCCTCATTTTTTTTTTTTTTACTCTTTTTTGTATCAGGCCGGAGCAACCGGACGTGGAGTCGGTCCTGGCGTGCATCGACATCGTGCGTTACGCCCTGGGCTGCTCGATCTTCCTCGGCATGACCATGGAGAAGGCTGCCTTCGCCAAGCAACTCCCCAAGTTCTGGTGCGTCTCGATCGATTGGATGTTGGGAGTCTGTAGTGTACTGCTGTAGAATCAGGGGGGAGGAACCCGTCTGTATGACCAACGGAGTTTTGGTGCTCCTAAGCTCCCCAAGTTCTGGCACGTGGAGTACTGCTGTTTAGGAGTACTGCTGTACAGTAGCATCAGGGGGAAGGGGCCCTTCCGTGTGACAATGGAGCTCCGTTCGCAAAATTGCTGTGTGTGATGGGGAAAAAAAAAGGGTGCTGCAGTGCGGGGCCCCGCAGTTTTTGAGAAAAATGTGCCTTCTAGAACAAAAAAAGGCGCCCAGATCAGTGGGTGCCGGAAAGAGTAAGAGTGGTATACCGTATGTTCTTAATCTCCCCCGGTATTGAGGATGCGTGGGCAATGATGTAACTAACATCTGAGGCATGCAAAACATGAGTACGCCCCCCTAATATGACAGAACTCACGCCCTCCCCCGGTTCCATCTTGCGCCAGGAACCTGACCAACCGTAAGGAAGAGAGGATTGCCCGTCGCCGTGAACGCTGCCTCAGGAGGCCGGCGGGGGGCTCGTGGGCACGGGCGGGGGTGGGGGGGGTGGGGGTGGTTCATCCACGGGGACCCTCAGCCCCACCACCATCCTCTCCGGCGACGGGAGCATCGGCAGCGCCAGAAGCCTCAGCGTTCGGAGCGACTCGCAGCGGGCCGGGAGCGGCAGAGGAGGGGCGGTGATGACGATTGGGCTGGCGGGAGGCAGGGGCACCGCGGAGGGGGAGGCTTGGCTGGAGGAGGTGGAGGAGGTGGAGAACGCCGTGGAAGCCAAGTCCACCATCGCGCAGGTGCCGGCCGCGTTGTACGTATTGCGCATGTACACGGTTACATGCGTGTTTTCTTCGTGTTTTTCTGAGAAAGATAGATGCATACAGTACGATCAAAGAGAGACCGACTACCCGTTCGAGATGCAACCAATCACAGCAGTCGAAGGGGTGTGTTGATATGATGGATGGAGTCTTTGCAGCGAGTGGCTGGTTACCAGGCTTATGTTGAGTCTGTTTAAGCCTCTATGTACTGAATTATTCCGGTGATGCCAGCTGGTGCTAAGCGCACAAAACGTCGTTGTTTTTGTGTAACTCGATTCGCCGTCTTTTTTTTTTTCCCCTCGGAAGGTGCACTCCCTCGTCAAGTCCCTGGAGAGGAGGGTGAACGACACGTACCTGATGGAGGAGCTGCACACCGTGGCGAAACGCATTCGTAACCATGGAAGCCTCTTCGACGGTACGCCCAGGCGCTTCCTGCGGGAGGGGGACCTGATAAAGTTCACCCGCACGGGCAGGAAGATGTCTTACCGGTGAGAATCGAACAGATAGCAGGGATGTGATTTCACGGTGCGGTTTTTGCGATACGGTACGGTACGGTACGGTACGGTACGGTACGGTACGGTACGGTACGGTGCGGTGCGGTGCGGTGCGGTGCGGTGCGGTGCGGTGCGGTGCGGTGCGGTGCGGTGCGGTGCGGAAGATGTCTTACCAGTGAGATCAAAATAACGTACATATAAATTATTGATTCATTCATTGTGTTATACAGCAGGGCCCTGTACAGAGGGCCGCTTGAATAAGGCCGGTGAATCGCTTGGCACAGATAGAACATCCAAGTTGTCGTGTACTCTGAGTAGTGCCAGGTGCCCGATATAAAACCGATTTGCAAAGCTCGACTAACTATGTACTTCACGAGGACAGGATGCATTAATCAAGCGATGATGTGTTTGCGGAACGGTGTCGACAATACGATTCCAACGCCGCCATTTTCGGCATCGCCACCCACTCTTCCCTGCTGTGGAGAAATGGAGCTCGGAAATCGTTCTGGTGTGTGTGTGATTTCTTGCGTCGCCTATCGCCTACCGTAACTCATTCGGGATGGTTTGTGTGCGCCCTCTTGATGGCGGCCGAACTCTTTGTAACGTTTTTTTTTTTTTTTTGCCTTTGTGTTTTGCAGCTTTTTCCTGTTCAGCGATCAGCTCGTGTACGCGCACCAACTCTTCTCCGGGGACTGGAAGATGCACGAGCAGCTGCTGCTGGCGCTGGTGAAGGTGGTTGACGTGCAAGTGAGTCGAAAGAAAAAGAAACTATAGAGGTTCATTCGAGCTTGGTGATTATTTTCCGTCGTCGTCTTGTTCTTTTGTGTTTTTTGTGAAGCTTCGACCGCGCTTTTGGATGCAGTTGGCGATCCATTGGTGTGTGTGTGTGTCGTCATCGCCTTCTACATATTTGTGTGTTTGTGCGAGTTGTGAACAATGTATGTAGCATCGAAAAACGTTGAAGAAAACGCATACAATACACTTACATGTGTTTTGTACCGTAACTGCTAGTATGGTTGTTTTGCTATTTACTCAAGGTGTATGTTTTTACGTTTTTACGCCCCCCCCCCCCCCCCCCCCCCCCCCCCCCCC